ACTGCTAAATTAAGGACGGCTAGCGCAGATAGCCCTCGTGTAGCTTTGCGCGAAATTAAAAAAAAACAAACAAAAACAATCATAAGCATATGAATATATATAAGTCGATAGCTTAGACTTTTCTTATAGGTTTTTCTACTCATTCCACCCTCCTCTACCATATGTTAACTGAAACATCAATTTCAGTTATTTTAGTTTTACTAACTTTATATTTTTACAATATTCTTGTACATATATCAGATCATTTCAAATCTCATTTTTAAAAACAAAATCATACTTTTATCATTCGAAATGAAAAGAAAAAGAATAATAGTGACCTAAAATTATTGTTGTTAGGCTATTTTGACAGACTATAAATCCAGCTGTTCATGATTTGTGGCCTACTGCTGCAAACCCACACTGAACTTTCGAGCCACTGATACATTATAACAGTGATAGTCTAGCTTCACTATTCACTTAGAGTAGCATAAGAGTTGGTAGTAGGTACTATTGACTAGCTGTCTCCATTTATTATATCAGTTCAAAATTATGGATGACCAGTACAGATGATCTTTGTGTACCTTTTCATGAATATCTGAAACAAATAAACATAACTCACGTATTGGATATTTATCTTTTAGTATGAAGCCAGATGATGACAGATTAACATTCTGTAATGGATTGGTTCTCCATAAAGAACAATGCCGTCGAGGCTTTGGTGACTGGATAGATGCTATTGTGGATTTTGCCAGGTGTCTTCACTCCCTAGAAATTGACATCTCAGCATTTGCATGTCTTTGTGCCTTGGTCTTAGTAACAGGTAAGCACATCTTAAATGTTTCTTATTATTTCATGGAAATGTTAATCAGCTTGTGCTTTCTTCCGTGTTTAATATCAGTTGTAATCAAAAGCGTAATACTCAGCATTCGCGTGTTTTCAGTAAATGGTGTCACCACAAAATATGAAAACAAACCAACATATATTTCAACTAATCATGACTGCAGAATAACACGAGACAGTTTTTTTTTCGATAAAAAAGAGATAAAATGCGATAGTAGCATCGGTTTTGTGTACCAAATTTTGGACAGGTGATTTTGGAGAAATCTATATCAAAAACTAAAATACCAGAAAAAAGGGTTAATGGACAAGACACAGATAATCATTATTTGCTCCAAAGTCTTTACTAAAATAAAAAGGAAAACTAAAACCCGAACTGACTTAAAATGAATTTAGACTTTTTTCAAGTAATTACCAGACTTATTTCTGGCCCTAAGTATAAGCAAAGTCATTAGTATTATTGTTCTCTTAAAATACTAAGCATATCTTTTTTAAAAACTTGAAATAGCCAATAAGTGAAGTTTGGTTTGGTTATGCTCCCATTTAGAAATTTATTTTCAACTCTTTATTCTTATTTTTTTCTGTTAACGTGACATTAACGCTAATAAAATGTCATCAAAGGCCTAAAATGTCTCACTGCATCTAAAAGGAATGTAGATTTGGTTTCAACAACTTTATACATACATGTCACATTAATGGTTACATTTTCCAGCCCCCCCCCCCCCTCGGTGGCACAGTGACATGTCTGCGGACTTACAATGCTAGAATTCGGGTTTCGATAGCCGTGGTGGGCAGAGCACAGATAGCCCATTGTGTAGTTTTGTGCTGAATTACAAACAAACAAACAACATTTTCCAAATTGGTGCTTCAAAATAAAAGGCATAGTGAAAACGAAATGACTTTATTTACAATGGCCCACAGTAGAGTATGGAACTGATACTTGCAGAGAATATTGTGCACATGGAGATCTGAGTTTGTGACAAGTTTCAAATTTCTACTCCACACTGGATTTGGTCTGCTACAACTTTGTGAGTGTACCTTCAGTAGACCTTCCGAAACACAGCATCAATTGGTCTATTGACTGATATAGCCTTTATAGCTCAAGAGAACTAAAATTTGGATTCTAGACTTATATTGTATACGGTTGTTGGTGTCTAAGCTTCCACCATCTCTGGGATACACCATTGTCACTCTCTCTAAGGTTAGCAGATAAATACATTGGTCTTTTCCAATACCAAAGGAGTAACAGTATATATGCATGTATATAATTCAGTGATCAAGATTGGAATTCTTCTAACAAGACGTTATGCAATATTGTACATTCATAACATTACACGTAGCTAAAGTCTGTTCCAAACGATTATCATATAATGAACAATTCACTTCAGAGTGATATTATATTTCCTTATACTTGTCGTACAGATTCCGTAATGAAATGTGATGAGGTGAATGCTATAACCTATCGCCATATAATATTACATTTATTATCAGGTATGTTAATAAATATAAAACTGTTTGCAACTGTTTCATAAGTAATAAGCCCATACAAAATACACTTTCATTACCATTTAGGTAGGTCCACAAATATTAGTGACGGCTACTTTGGGAGTCATCAAGAGGTAAGAATACATAACCTGTCAATGTATTTGTGCAAATTGTCATCCAAATCTACCATGGGCCATTTTAGGCTTTTATTGACACTTATCCTCTTAATGAGATTTAAAAGAATTCCACCATTAAATATTTTTGCAGTTGTCAATGAAGAAAAATAATTAAGATATAAAAATAGAACATGATAAAATAAATGAAAACGATGTTGATGTAAAAAAAAAAAAGAGAGATAATATATTGAACAAATCAAAAGATAATGAATAAAATACCGAATTATACGCAATAATGGATAACTTTAAGTAGCACTACAATAGACACATTTAAAAATAACGAATTTTGAAGATAACAGGTTACCATTAACGGTTGATTTTTTAGATCTTTCGTTATTATCTGTTTCAGTTATCTTTTATTCAGTCGAAGTCAAAAATCTTCTTTGGCTTATATTTGTTGAAGTTTAAGCTTATTTTTTCAACCCATATATAATACTGAATGCAACGAAAAGCTGTCGCTAATAGTCATCGCAATTGTAATGGGATTTTTAATATAACGTTAACATATCTGTCGAAAGATGGCGGTAATACTACTGGAACATACTGTAGTTTCCATATGAAAAGAAATAAGTAATAACCATAATAAAGAACCCAAAAATTAATGTTTTGATTTATATTTATGATTTAATATTTCACATCATTAGATAGCTACTATATCAAAGGGACAGGCGACTATACTGCTATAAATTAATTCATCAATATTATTTTTATACACAATACAGAGTTACATGAAACCTTATAAACCTGGGAGAAATTTGTGTCTTTCTGTTTTAACTCGGAAATTGCACGGTCACGCAAACCTTATTACTTAACTATGCCGATTATCAGTATAATTTAGCATACTTTTGGTCAGTTACTGCCTCTGGTGATAATTTTCTATTTTAGTATATTTAACACTAGGTTAGATAAAATATTCACCTCGAAATAAAAATGTAACATTTTAATGTCTACCATTGGTTGCAATATCCTTGTTTGAAGACATTTGTGTGTATGTATGTACCAAGATCTCGAGTAATTATATTCTGAAGTTTTTATTATCGTTTATATGTAGCTTACAACCTAAAGTGTTGTTAGTTAAGTAGAATTATAAGAAAATGTTGAAATATTAGTGTCTCGTGCATGCATGCGTGCAGATCCAGAAAACCGGGGGAGGGGAAATGTTGAGAAAGAACGTGGCCACCGCATAATATCAATGTCCCCAAACGTTCTTGAGTTGGGTAGGTTCGAGGCTATTGACATGAGATGGTATTCTCTGTGTAAGGTTCAAATTTGGTCACGATGACATCAATAGATAATATGATTTATTTATTTGTACTGCTACGTTGTTTTTCATTTATTTATTTTAGAACGACATGGTCTAAAAGAGCCTGAGAAAGTGGACCAGCTACAAATGAAGATTGTTGGCGCTTTGCGTGATCATGTGACTTACAACAGTGAAGCCCAGAAAAAAGCAAATTACTTCTCACATATTCTGGCTAAAATTCCCGATCTTCGATCACTTAGTGTTCAAGGACTTCACCGGTTGTTCTACTTAAAACTTGAAGATATCGTGCCTGTACCCCCACTTATCGATGGTTTGTTTTTGTCCGGCATTCCTTTCTAAAGCTGTCTAACTTATTATTCAGGTGCTTCAGTCTATGAACTGAGAATGTTTTGCCTTTGTAAAAGGATTGTTGTCCGACTTGTTACTGCTAAGCCCCATTTGCAATGTGTTAAAACGCCATATCAAATGTTTTTCTGTAAATATTATATAATAAGACTTTTTACTACCATCTACTCTATATATATATATATATTATCTAAATCAAACTATGTCAGATCACAACTTTGTGTGGAATCAGAATTTAAAACGAAAATTAACTTACTGCTACATTTATCACTGAAAAATGTTAACAGATAAAAGATTTTGGTTCAATTAACAGGGACGTATTAAGGTTAACTGACGTTCTAGGCCCAAAATTTTAGATGCGCCTCTTCCTTCTTGAATGACTCACCATGAAAATTATCCACTAACACGAGAACAACAATAAATTAAATTGCAATGAAATTGATGGATATTTGTTTTTATCATAAGTTTAAAATTTATAAAATACATTAACTAACAAAGGTCAGGGGAACCAAAAAGAAAAAAATATGAACGTGGAAGAAGGTATATTAAAGCCAACACTTTGAGGGGCGCGGTCTTAGGGAACAAATTTTGAAAAAATATACATAAAATTTGAAATATAAAAATTTTTCCCCTAAAATTCACTCCTCCAGTTATTTCGCTCTAGGCCCAAGCCTTGAAAGTCTATTAGTTAATAAGCCCTTGCCGATAATATATTGCGAATTCTATTAGCTTGAGGTGGTTAAAAAGGGCTTTGAGGCATAATGGAGAACTTTGAGACAAAAAACTTAATGTGACAATCATAAAGCTTATTAAAAGCTCCTCTTGTGTTTTCATGTAATAGCTTCGAAAGAGTTGGTTGGATACGAAACAAAGGTTCTAAATTTAACCAAAAGGGAAATATTTCATAAAATTATGCATCCTTTTTCGAATGGTTTATTAAGAATTGTACTAGTTTCTCAGTTTCATAACTTATAGTTACATTACATACTACTGACTTATTCTAAATTAGGTGTTGTTTTAGAGCCACCAAATCATTGGTCTTTACAAGCTGGCACAGATGAATTTCTCTAGTAAAGCCTACAGGATTTGAGTTGCATGACTCCGTCTGATGTTCCACCAATTAAACCACTATTATATACATCCTAGTGAAACATAAGTTTCATCCTAGTGCTACAATGATTGCTTTGTTTACCAAAACATTGAAAGTGTAAAACGTCTGTAGGAATGGGAAACCATGAAGAAAAATATGAGCATTGAGTGTATCTACACTGGGGGAAGTACACTGTTTCGTCATGAAAGGTTCAGTAACGTTAGCGACCTGGATTGAGACTGTTTTTAAAAGAATTTACAAGCAACAGAGGTAACATTTTAGGTCTATTGTATCTTATATTAAGAGTTCAGCGTATGCCCCCCAGTGGCACAGCGATATGTCTGCGGACTTACAACGCTAGAATCCGGGTTTCGATACCCGTGGTGGGCAAAGCACAGATAACCCATTGTACAATTTTACCTTCACTATCCTTAAACTTCAAGTTTCAGCATATTTTTGGCCCAGATGTTCTTGGGCCAAAACGTGATCAGTAAATTTTATCTTCTTCCTCCCTCAACCCCCCTGCCAAGATCACCGCCAACACAAAGGTAAAGTGTTACTGTAATATTATGTATTTTCTTTTTCGTTTTTTGATATTGTTGTTTTTATAAAATTGTTTATTCCTTAAATTGAATTTATTATGGCCAATAACTATATACTACTGGGGGCGAGGGGAGCTCAACTGTCCGCACATGGTCAGGAACGGACATATGCGGATAGTAGAGGTAGCACTGTATATTCAAAACACATACAGGTTTGCACCTGTGATTACAAATAACAAAACATTACAATCTTTGAACACTTCTGTTTTTACTCTTCTATATTATTTTCTACTGGTTTCCTGAGTTAAAAGTCACTCTTCAGGATATAATTTCACAGATAATTAATTATAAGGTAGTTCAAATACCACTTTTCAACTAAACATAAATTTTCAAAGTCGCCGAAAAATTTCGAGTCCCAGGTACAAGTGTCATGGGCCCCTTCCAGTCCACGTGGGAGGATGATACCACATGACTTCACTAATATTATGACGTCCCATGTATACAATGATGACATAATTATATGATCACGTGTTTAAATGGGAATTCTACATCAAACATGTGTGTTGTGCCAAAATATGGTTAAATAAAGTGTATCATAAACGGAGTCTGAGGCAGATCCCCCAGAAGCTAGAGATTTTAACTAAAATTCTAGATAAAACCTGCTGCATCAAATCTTGGAGGCGGTAACGTAGGCCGTTAAACCAAATATGTGGGGTGTGTCCTTTCATCCCCACAGTCAGCTAACAAAGCTCACACTAGAACCACCATATAGAAACCTCCAACAGATTCTGGGGTACGTTAAAAACCGCTCGCTGTTCCTAAGCTATCACAACACAAAAAAAGGCATATTAACGGCTTGAATGCATATGGTGTCTAATTTCTGGGCACTGTAAATTAAAATTATTTTCCAAAATGCTTGATAGTTATGAAAGCATCCGCCTTGTATTTTCATTTGCAAGTTGGCCGATGATTTGAGTAAAATCTAACTAAGGTAAGTCCATGCTCAGAAGATAAAATGGTTAATCTGTTTATCTTCAGCTGTAATCGATCCTAAATATTTTTTTTTATCTTTAGCTTGCTAAATGCCCCCTATTCCTCTTCGATGCTGGTTGGGAGAGCACAAAAACATTCTTAGGGCTATACATACTTTGGTAAACATACCTCCAAGCTGTAATACGCAAATCGCATTCAACAAGTGACGAGGACCCGAAGAATAAAAAACTGGAATATGTGAATGCGTACATTGATTTCAAATAAAGGATTACTTTTTTCCATTCATAAAGTTAAATCATTTGTATATAATGAATCTAAAGTTTTACAAGCTTCCACAATTTAGTCAATACTCATGCTCTTGAACTGCAACAGTTGTCAGAAAAACATGCAAATGTTATCGATTACCTCAAATCTCCCTCTTAATTGACAAATGGTGCCACAAAGAAAATAGTTCTCTTGAATTTCTCCTTCAACCTGTTCAATATTATCCGATTGCAAATTAAACATGGTGGTTCTCCTTCGTTCTACTACTAATTCAATAGGAATGTCTAATTATTGAGGTATCAGTCTTGACTCACTCAGGATTTTTGGCCAATTATCTCTCAAAGACTCCATTTCAAAAGACAATTGCTTAATATTTTCTACAACGATTTCAAACGAACTACTTCTAAACTGAATAAGTACACTCATTCTATCAAGGTTTTCTAATGCCTTTATCCAAAAAGTGGCCAGAATAACTTCTTTGAATGGCGAAAAATACGTTTTAAGGTTATTAACTTCGAAGTAAGCATCATGCGCAAGTTTTCCTGGAGAGATTAAATTTTCAAGTGCTCTCATAACACCAGGTAAATGCCGAGCACGAACATCCTGTACTCTTGAACTCCAACGAGTTTCACTCAGGTTATGTAGAGAACAACCAGTATTTTCTATTAAAAATTTCCATCTTCCAGAACTTACAATACGTACAAACGACTCATTTTTCCAAAAAATTATCAATTCTGAGTATCAGGAAGCATCATGTACTCCAACCAAATTTAATTAGTAAGCACAACATATCGAAGAAAATAGTACTTAGGTTAACATTCTTAATACAGGTTTGCACTCCTTTAATTTTTGCTCGCCTTATTCGCGGCGTTATCTTAACCCTGACTTCTACAGTCATATTTGTCATTTTCGTGATGGTTTAGCCTAGATAAAGCCGTTTTTGCTATCTCTCCCACTTTCTTTAAATCATAATTGAGACATTTTTTTTTTCTGTTAACAAGTACACTTACTGAACGATGAGAATATTTTGTTAAGTATGGGAAAAATCAGGCGTACTATAACAAATAATGGAAAAATAAGTGGTTATTTTCTTTTCAGTGGGTATATATTTCAATTCCTTATTCTCACTGAAGATAATAAATTCATTCCACCTTAGCCAGAATATAAATAGTGCGCACGGAGACGTCGCTATTTCTCTAAACTTTTCTTTACCTTTCTCAAGTGCACTTCAAGTAAAGGGTCATAGTGGAAGAGTACCTATAAAATTCCCATTATTTCAGTTTCATGCTTCCTCGAAATGCCAAATTTCTTGTAGCCAAAAATATTATAACATTAAGCATACGTTTCAACAATTAGAGAATTTTTTGTCATAGCAATTACCAACTGTTGAACGTTATGTAAATTAAATATACATTATAATATTCTCAAAAAGAAATTAGCTTAAAATTTTCAAATGTACTTCTTTTCTATTCCTTTGTCATTTTTCTGTTGATTAAAACTTTATTTTACATATAATTTATCCTTTTATTATATAAAAACAGTTTACTTCCACAATCTTTAACAAAATATAATATACCTCTAACTTACTGTATTTTCATTTTTTGTAATTCCTAGATATAATTTTTACCGCCGTATAATTCTAACTAACCTTACTCAGTTTAAGTACGTAAATTAATATGTAGAATTATACGCTGACTTTTCTCTACGTTAAAATACTGTTATTTGGGAGCATTCGGTCCTATTGTTGCCCGATGAAGGCTCCGGTAAGAGTGCCGAAAGCTCCCAAATAAAAGTATTTTAACGTAGGGAAAAATCCGTGTATAATTCTACATCTTACTCAACTACTGCTGTTTCTAAACCTCTCACCTCTTTGTATTTAAAGTAGCACTAAATATTTATGAAATATCTTTTAAAAATTAATATTTTATGTTTTATATTGTATACCCGTAAACGAAACACATGGAAGTATTGTTCTTTCAGCATTTTAAACTTGCCCATAATATATTCATTAAAATGTGTACTGACATATATTGGGCTTTTTTTTTAAAAAATCGAACATGAAACTTAAACTATCTATTTTACCATCACACAATTCACCATAATTTACACGTTGTAAAAGATATATTACATTTCC